CTTCCATCGTGTCCAAACCATTCGTCATACTTACTTAATAAGACCGTGTCAATACCCGTATTCGTATAAGCATCTACTGATTAGACCAATTTTATAATATGCCGTTTGTGTGGATGAAATTAGTTTTGTTGAATTTATTTGGATTTTGGAATACAGATGAGATAGTTGGTAAGTGATTTTTTTTTAGACATATAGAATTATCATGATCGCTTCAAGGAATGCACCGCTATGGTAGCCTTGTAGCGGGACTGACACACTAATTGTTCGAATTGCAATCCAATCTGGCAAGTCACCGATAATAGTCAATCCTAATAAAGTTGTATGCCCTCTTTTACAATTAGCCAAAAACTACGTCGTATACGTACATTTAAAACAAACTTTATGTTAGTAAAGTTATTGTAAACCACATGCTGAAAATAAAGATGCATACGTCAATTTACAATTACCTAATGTTGTAAATAAAGATGTATTCACTAATTTACAATTGCCTTAGGCTATCATGTAAATAAATTTGTTTATGTACATTAACAATTACCTTAAGCCTTGTTGTAAGTGAAGTTGTATTAGCACATTTCAAACAAACCTTATGCTGTACATAAAATTGTATACAATCATTTACCATTATTTTATGACTTTAATTAAGTCATACTACTCAATTACAATTACTTCAACTGTAAATAAATTACTTTTATTTCGATGTTCAGATAATTCTTTCGTCTCTTTCTAGTTTTTGGATTAGAGAATCTGGCACTAAACAAACCAACAAGACACACCAGTGAATATTCAAATAGAACATATTCTTCCAATGCGGTCGATGGAATTCTAAATAAAGACGGCGACAATAATTGCTCTCATACACATTTGCCAACAGATACACCCAATTGGTTGTTGGTTGACTTAGAAGCTGAATATGAAATTACAAGTATCAAGATCTTAAATAGATATGGAGTTAATGGTTGAGTATTTTAAATCTTGAAAAAAGGTCAATTTGACGAACATTCAAGTGGGCTGTCGTAAGACCGTAATTGAAGTGGCTATATTAAGAATAAAAGTTTAAGAAACAGAACGAAAAATTTGGTCTCGTTTTAATTGAAATTCTGTTTATTTTACATCTTGAATTTTTTTTATTTAAAATTTTTTTCACAGTGGCTATTTGAATTCTACTTAACATAATTTTTATTCGCCCACATTATAATTATAATTATCATCTGATTTGAATGGAATTTGGTGCTAGGCAACCATTGTTATCTTAAAAAGGGAGCAAGGTGGTTAAAGTGTATTACGCACTTGTGCATTAGGGGTCTGGAGTTCGATGCAGGCATACGTCAAGATGATATATTTTTCAATTCGGTTTCATTCTGCCATTTTGGCCCCAAAACAGCTCGTCTAAGCAGATATGGAAATGATCTCATTCACTATTTGTCGGATGAGAAAAAATACTCAGGTCCCTGTCAGTTGTGATTGTATTATTGTGAACAATATTCAGTGAGACAGTGTGAACAATTCTCCTACAGTCACAGATTATCAGTCATCAATTGAAAGAAGATTTGGCTGTTTAAGTTGTTGATATTAATTTTAATTTTAGGCGATAGATTAAGAGATTTTACTGTTTCTGTTTGGCAATATGATCCTGGTCCTCATATCAAATATAACATGGTGGATACTGAATACTGTATTTGTGTCAATCACCCGAACACAGCAGAGAGAGCCACCTGGACAAATTTAACATGTACGAAAATATGTTTGGGAAGATTTGTTCTGGTAGTTTTGAACAACCCGACAGTTTTAACAATATGTGAATTAGAGATATTTGGTGATATATACAATGGCTGTTCAACACAGTACTTACCTGGTAGGTTTAGAATAAAGGGATATATACTTCTAATAAGGAGATTATAGACAACTAAATATTTGATTTACTAGCCGTTAAAACTCTATTTCAGAAAGTAAACCCAAACGTGCAATTTGTCAAGAATTTCAATAAATATTTTTTTATTAGCGTCATTTCGGTTTCTCGTCAGGTAATTAGTGTTTTTTTTTTTAAATTCCAGAAAATGCTTACCGAATCATGATGCAATTATCTCAAAAACTCGGACATTGTGCTAGAAAATCCTCAATAAATCCAATTCAAATTAGAATACAATTTAGTTCCTTTTTATACGCACACATGAAATGGGGGCGTATATTGCTGTCACTCATGTCCGTCCGTCCGTCCACAATTGCTCGTAAAGACTCTTTAAGACTCAATTCTTGACTGATTTTGACAAAACTTATTGTGAGTGTTCGTAATCACCCAAAATTGAAAATCAGAAGAATTTAAAAATATTTAGTTCGAGCTACTGCCCCTGTTCTTGAGAACGCGCTCAATTTAAATCACACAATTCTTGACGAGTTTTGAGGAAACTTGGTGTGAGCGTTTGTTATCACCTAAGGATGAACCCTATCGAAAATAAGAAGAATCGAAAAATATTTAGTAGGAGTTTCTGCCTCCGTTCTTGAGAACGCGTTCAATATTTAGCTCGCAAACATTCTAGAAGGCACAATTCTTGACGGATTTTGACAAAACTTAGCTTGAGTCTTTGTTATCACCCAAGGATAAACCCAATTGAAAATCAAAAAAATCGAAAAATGCCAGTAGGCGTATATTACCTTGCCTGGCAAGCTATCTTTATTATTGATATTGTTCGCCTTCATTGTGTAATCTTATGATATTTTTTAACCATAGTCACGTTCTAATGACGTCTGTTTTAACCAATCAAAGCGTGTAATGCTTGTAATGCAAAAGTTTCCACACTATCAGTTTAAAGAGAGTCCAATTTAGGATTTTGCCAAAGCTAGTTGCTTCCAATCTAAAAGAAAAACTAAAGCTACATAGACCGCCTATTTGTTACCAAAGTTTTGAGGCACTTTGGAACAACACTCATTATCAACGTTGACTATATTCTTTTTAAAGCAACAGTGAGCAAGAATTGGAAACCTTTAAATATATGATTATCTTCTTTATTCCAGAAATTCATGTAAAAAAAGTGACAGGTAAACGTTCCAGTTCACCAAATTGTACACTCTTACCATATGAAGTAGCCAATGTATATGAGTGTATCCAGCAATGTTTACAGATGAACGGCTGTATCAGTTTTAATTATGGTCCTAATTTAATCAACACTGTTAATTGTCAATTAGTGAGATGTTTTTCACACCCAAAACAAGACTTTACTGTAGATAGTGCATGGGACTGGCGATATTTGTCACGTTAAAACATTAAAGGGACAAGTTCATTATCTGTTTGACCATTTCCATATCAACTACTATTTAACTACTTATAACCTTTTATATTTAAAACAATCTAGCTTAAGATTAAATAGTTCCTGCCACACAGCACTCTCAATATAACAGAAAATTTCTAAAATATCACTCAATCATAGCATCCTTACTGGATTAATATTTTTCAATTTTCGTAAAGCTTTGGATATGATAATTCATAATATTCTTTTACCCTATAATTTTTCGAATAGTCTTTTTTAGAATCCTACACCCATAACAGAAACCAATGTACCTCCATTGGGCAAAACCAATCGACATTTCAATGTATAACTTCTGGTGTACCTCAAGGATCTTTCTTAGGTCCTTTGTTATTCAATCTTTTTATAAATGATGTTCCACTTCATTTTACGTGTAACTGTGATTTGTTTGCTGATAATACTACAATTTATTTAGATATTTGCTCTTTAAACTCTGTTCTTCAATCAGAAACTAATAAAATCGTTCAATGGTGTCATGATTATTCTATGATTATAAATCAATCGAAAATTAAAACTATGTTTATTGGCTCCAATCATCAATTAAAAATTCCAGAAAAATTATCTTTCTTTGCAACTATTGAATTCTCTCAGACTTTAAACTATCGGGTGTTATTTTGGATCAAAATTTTAATTGGAATAAACATGTAATTCATAAAATTTTAAACCAGAAATTATTTCAAATGAGCAAGATTAATCCTCTCCTCCTTCAAACTTTATTAAATTATTCTATTTCGCTCATTTTCAGTCCCGCATTTATAACTGCTTCACCATTTGGGATACTTGTAATAATTATTCTTCTGCTGCCTTTTATAGACTTCAAAAATTGATTTTTAGGCTAATTAATAATAAACCAGTACTTAAACCGTCTCCACTGTCACCTTCCCATGAAACCTTATCTACATCATTGAATATTCTTACAGTTCAAAAACGTCATTTAGTCAATAAATACATTTTTCTCTTTAAAATAGCTAATTGTGGGACTTTGCTTCGGCAAAGTCCCAGTTTGTTATCATATTGTCAATTCTTTTTTTTTTTCGAAATTTCCACAGGGCACACAGACTAGGCTTCAATAGCTACATCAACATTTCTACATGTGTAAACCTTCTGCAGTGGCAACGTTGTTAATGAATATGAATTGGAACATTTTTGCAAAACCGTAAGTGCCACAGTGCAACATTTACAAAAACTCGTAAATTGATTCTAGAAGGCGCATTTTTGCATCGATTTTCTTCGGGTTTTCATTTTTAAAATCTAGCTGTAATTTCTGATCAGATAGCACTTGTAAAATTACGAAATTCGAAAATTAGTCGCAAACTTTTTTCGATTGAATTTTGAAATTTTTTTGCAACTTTTTTGTTTTTGCATCGATTGATCTGAAATTTAAAAAGCAAAGAGACATCAATAAAGTCAATGATATGATACAGTCAGAGTTTTGACGTCACTTCCGGTTTTGAAGGTGGAATCAATTGAAAGTACAATCTACTTCCGGTCGAATAACTTCCGGTGTAAATGAAATGGGTCAACGGAATTTATGCAGGTCGTAAGTAAATGCTAATACAAAAAAACGAAGAATATAAAATCCAGACCGGAAGTGATACTTTGGCCGCCAACTTGATTTTCTAATTTTCTTAAAATCGAAATAAGTCTGAACTCTTTACCTCGATCCTTAAAGAAAATCAATGTTTTGGCAAAATTTTTCTTTTTTGAAAAAATAGAACAACATATTCAATTGAATGATCAATGTATATAACTGTTTACTGCTTTTCTGATTGTAGTTTTTCTGTTTTTAGTTTCTTTTGTATTATTTGTTATGTTCCCTTGAAGAGCAAAATTGTGAAAAGGCCAGGCATAATTTCCACGCTAATATTATTATTATTATTATTAGTGAGATCATTCCTCCCCGAAAGAGCCAAATATATTCCTCCTCATAATAAATCAATCATTTTAAAAGTATTCACTCGAAAAATTTATTCCATGATTAACCATGAATGAATATAAAATCATACTTCACATATCAAGATATTTTAATGTGACCCTTGGGCCGAATGTTTGTTCACGATTATCTGTTTGTCCAGATTGAATGATGTAAATTTCAGTCGTAGATCACCTCTCTCAGTTATCTTCAACTAGCCACGTTTCTTTTACCGTGCTGAACCCACATTCCATCTAATACCTGTTGGGAAACGTCAAGAGTAGATTCAACGAAGCATGTTGTAGGAATTCCACGCCAGTTATGAAGCACTGGTATTTTCATTGTTTATTTATAGGTTTATGTCTATATTGTTTTTTTTTTATAATAGAGCCTATGATATAATTAAAATATTTGGGTGTCTGAATAGCATCTTCCATCGTGTCCAAACCATTCGTCATACTTACTTAATAAGACCGTGTCAATACCCGTATTCGTATAAGCATCTACTGATTAGACCAATTTTATAATATGCCGTTTGTGTGGATGAAATTAGTTTTGTTGAATTTATTTGGATTTTGGAATACAGATGAGATAGTTGGTAAGTGATTTTTTTTTAGACATATAGAATTATCATGA